TAGAAATTTAATGAATCTCTCGATGAGAGCGAATACCACTTATTGTGTGACAGATACGGTAACGCTTATATTGTAGGAAGTCAAAGAGCACTGAGACAGAGTACCAAGACAGCAGGGCTATACAATATAACTTTATTTCTTTTCTGTAGTTTACATGTAATAAAATATTGCTAAGTACAAACGAAAGCCATTAGCATGCTGTGCATTTCGGGCAGACTAATCCTAGTGCTTACAGACTACTGTGGTAGTTGATGATTTATAATTGTAAAGATCAGGTTATGGTCTATATTTAGTTAAGTTTAACCCTTAAACGGTCCAAACGTATATATACGTTCTCTCGCGTAGCGCCCCAAACATATATATATACGTTTTCTTTGTTATTCATTCAACATTGCCACAATAAGCCTGAGTCGCCTAGACATGAGAGAATGGGTATGCGCACTCACTGTGCACCATATTAAAATAATTGGTGATGCCTGGGTACCATATGCTCTTTTTTCATATTAAAAAAAAATGATTTTTTTTTTTTCCTCAAAAAATTGGGGGGGGCGCTACGCAAGAGAACATATATATACGTTTGGACCGTTTAACCCTTTCAGGGTCGACAGGCCCTCTCAGAGACTTGTTCTCAGGGTCAGCCAATTTCAAAAAAAAAAAAATTGTTTTTCTTATGAAAAGATAGAGAATCTTTTCTCGATCATAATGACACCAAAAGTATGAAATTTGATGGAAAACTTATGGAATTATGCTCTTGCAAAGTTAGCAGTCTCAACGATGTTTACGCATTGGCGATTTTGCCCACTTTGAGCCCTATTTTCGGCCAATTCCAGTGTACTTGTTGACAAAAATCATAACTATTTCGCTAGAACTCCATTTTTTCTATCGAATGAGTACAAGAAACCACCCATTTACCGATTTCAACTATCCAATACAGTGGTCAGAATTTAGCAATTTTGCCAATTTCACACAAATTTCAAAAGATGCCAATTTCTGAATAGGGTCCAGAATAAACAAGACATTCCTGGCACTAAAATAACATTTCCTCTGTTCATTAGTCACGTCCCCACGCCCCTCTTACATTCTTTTGCTTTCCACTTTGAATTTTTATTCTCACAAAAAATAGAAGATTTACTGTTATGGAGAATACTGCATTGGTGTAGAAATGGTATAAATATAATCAGCGCACTTGTGAAAGAATATTAGACTAACCAGTTGACGTGTATTGGATGCATAGCATGATTTGTTTACTTTTGAACTTTGGTAAAAATCGAACATTTCTGCTACTTTGAGCGCAATTTCAAGGTAGTTTTCTTTGTAAAACCAGTCAAAATCATCTCAATTTCTGTAATATGTCTTCCATTCTATAAAATGAGACCAGAAAAACTAGAATACAACAATAAATACCATACGAAAATACAGTGCAAAGTCACTGTTTTAATCCAAAAACACGGTCAAAGTTTTTTTTTTTCTCATTACACACTGTGTGCTGCAGGATTTTGTTTATACCGCGCACACTGACCACATAGACCCATTCTTTCATATGTAGGCCTACCAGCTTTCTCTCACTAGATTTCAGGGTGCTAGAATTTAGGCGTACTAGTACGTCAAAAACCCTGGTGCGTAAGCCGTACTAGTATGGCCAAAACCCTGAAAGGGTTAAGGGTTAAAAGGTGATCTCTAGAACCCAAGGACCCATCTCTTAACTAACACAGGGTTCAGAAGCCTTTTATGAGTTTAGGTCATGATAACATCTTTTGACTCTTAATATGTGATGGGCCATTGTTTTCTATACAGGATGGAAAGTCTACCATCACATCTCCATTTTTTATGGGATAGACTGGAAAGCTTTAGTCATATAAGCAAAAGCTCCTCTGAGCAGATTTTTATATAACTAAGATTGATATCAGCATAAATTTCCATATTTCTTCTGACGCACAAAATACCACTACCATGGTACGTCGTTGATGCTAGAGACTGGATGGGTAACAGTGCAGTCATGATAGACGAGGGTGGGTGATAGCGAAGTCATGATAGATGGGGGTGGGTGACAGTGAGGGCATGATAAAATGAGGGTGGGTGATAGTGAGGGTATGATAGCTGAGGGTGGGTGATAGTGAGGGCATGATAGATGAGAGTGGGTGATAGTGAGGGCATGACAGATGAGGGTGGGTGACAGTAAGGCCATGATAGATCAGTGCTGTGAACTTGCTGCTAGTAAAGGAGAAGCCTCACATATCAATGTTGTATATGAATGCATTTCAGGGATGTTGGCAGCATGTGCTGCTGTAAGTACGTTATCATCATTTCCCAGCCAGAAGAATAGCTTTTTGGATATGTTCGAAAAGTGTCTTTTAACACTACCTTCTTCATGAATGATATTACATTCGTCATTAATTTGGTAATCATTCTTAACAAAATACAGCATGTATTCTCATTATAATAACCAAAATACAAATTAAGTTTTGCAACGTGGTGAATTAAAATTCATTACAAAGTGCATATGTATTGTAGACTATTTTGCATTCACTCTTGAGGAAATAACACTATAGTTTGTAATTAGACAAGAATCAAATACTTAGTCTCTGGCAGACATTTTGTTATTTTTAAAAAAAAAATTTTCTTTGAAGTACATTTAGTCACTCGTTTTTTTCTTAACTTCCATTCATGAGATAAAAAAAATGGAAAGGTAACAGAAAAAGGAGTGTGTGCAATACATATAAATGTCAACATTATCCAAGACAGTAGTAGACTACCAAAACTATCGCATGTGAAAATATCTTAATGTGTACAGCAGTGTATTGTAAAATGTGATTACTTGAGCTGTTGAGGAATTTTAACATTATTTATAATTTTATATTATGTTGATAGCATTTTTGAAAAATAACTTAAGAGGTTTAGCAAGAAAAGTGTCACTCGCACTTTACTCCCTAACAAGCTTTTGTTGAGCGCTGTCATGTAACTGATGATGGTTCTATGAATAGTGTTTATAACTAGAGTTTAGCAGTGTGTCTGTCTATTATAAAGATATGAATATAAAATATATTTTGCAGATGATTTCTTGTATCTTTATTCCTCCCCCCACACACAACACCAAAAAAAAAAGTAGTGATCTCTGATGACAGGCAATGGTAACCATATTCACTGCCTTTCCTGTTAACCACCTGGTCAGCCAGGCTGTTTGTGCTAGCACCATGCAGGCCCACCTGACCATCACTGGCTAATCCACAATATAACTTCTCCTCAAATACACAGTTTTAACTAAATTGTATTTAACATGATAAAAGTGATTATAATCATAACCATAATTTTTAAAGGGGTGGACTGGTAAGCCGTGGGTCATCATATGACTAAGACTTGCGTCAGGAAACACTTGTCCTGTTTCCTGATAAACCTTACCTATATTTAACACTGCTCATAACTTTTGCAGTAATGTGTAAGAAATCCCAAGATTAAATACTCAGAGGCAGGAATTCTAGGGTATTCAGTTAGAAAATTACCCTGTGGTACACATTTGTGCCTTTTTACAGTGCTGTTTCATGAAATGGCAGTTATAAGTAACCTAAAAATTGGAGATAAATAGCCAGGCAACTTTTCAGTTCATCATGGATTGTTATCAAGCCATGACTTAATAATGGTCCATAATGGATTGAAATAACATCTTAGATTTGCCTGTATCTCTGATTTGTGGGTTAGTTGTGAATTGCTCCAGCCATTGTACTGTGACTTTTCTTGTAGAACAACAAAATAAAAAGATAATGTTCTGAAAGCAACATTAATGCAGTTTAAACTTTCATTTAAAAGAAACATTCCATTGGAAATTGTTAGAAAGCATGACGTGTTTTTGGCAAAACTTATGAACTACCGAGGGTTTGGTGCTTTCCACAAATATAATACGAAATACATGTTACCAAGACTTCAAACAACCTCCCAGCTTTTAAACCTCATTTTAAAAATATTATTTTGCCTGCACATGTAGTGTATTTGTTTTTATAGTCACTCTTCACAACCTGCTTGTCTTTGTTGAATGATAAATACAGCCTCTCCTCACTTAGCAATGTACTCCTTTACCAATGACTTGGACTTACAAAGGACTCTTTGACCAGTATGCATACCTAAATAATGTATATAAAAGCTGATTTCCTCTATTCTGTTTGTATACAATACGCTACTGTATAAACATTGAAAAATATACCAGAAATGTTATAAATGGTGCAAAGGTGACATTAAAACAATATCAAAGATGGTTGATACAAGCCCACAACCATTATAGTATGCTCCTCACTTAGCGACGAATTCATTTACCGATGTGGTCTTAGGAATGGAGCTCTGTCATTAAGTGAGGAGAGGCTGTAATAATTTGCTCCCAGAACTGAAACTCAGCGGTAGAATTTGGGATAATTCTACTTCTAAGTTGTCACTCTAAATATTGTGCTCCACCAGCAGGAATTAGATTATGTTAAGGTTTTTTAAGCTAAGATAGATATCCTATGATTTAGTTTCATTTGCTTGAAAAACTTTTGACTTATATTACAGCAAGTACAGTATATTGTACATAGTGAAATTCTGAAATAAAAATACATAGTAATTTGTAAAGTATCTTGCCGAAAGTGCTTAAGATAATTAGTTACTGTATAACATTGGATTGGCAGAATTTAATTAAAAAGAGCATAGTATATAGAACAGTAAATTATAATACTACTATTATATGACAACAGTATATTAGTTTTCTCATACCTCTGTTATCTTTCCAAATATATTTGCTTTCTTCTTTATACTATCTTTTTTTTTCTTATGTTTAACCATCAAAGATTCTTGTGAAATACGTATGTACTGATAAATCTTTAGAGTGTATGTACACCACTTCTCTAACTTATCCTAAGATCATAGGGTCAGTGAAATGTAGTGTGAACATGATATAAGAAGACCAGCAACTTACCGTGGACGTAGAGGATTGTGATACCGATGGTGAAAGGGACTGACGGCGGTGTTTTATGTTGCAGTACGATGATGATGATGATGATGATGATGGCGAAGAGGACCGAGACGAAGCTGGGGACGACCTGTACAACGACGTGGCAGCTGCAGGGGGAGGGCTGGAGGGCTACCCTGTAGGCATGATGCCACCAGTATTGCTATGCCCACACTGTGGTCGAAGTTACACTAACAAGTCCACTCTTCGGCGGCATCTTCGAGCCCACACATCCGACAAGCCTTATGGGTGTGGCATGTGTGGCTATCGTTCCATCCAGCGGTCAGACGTGACAAGACACATGAGGACTCACACTGGGGAGAGACCCTATTCATGTCCTCATTGCCAGCACCGTGCCACCCAGTCAGGGGACTTAGACCGTCACATTGTTTCTGTACATCCAGACCTATGCCATGAGTGCCAGATATGCACCCATCGTGCTCCCACTGAGGCCAGTATGGTCATGCACCTGCGCAAGAAACATGCTTAATTCCACTGCAGGATTGGAAAATCCTTTGTTTGCAAATAGTGATCCAAATATGAAAATACAGTGACTGAATTACAACTGTATTTATTTTTATAACTAGTTAGTCTTTGCAAGTTAAAATAAGTCAAATGATAATTACATTATATAATATTTTGTGTGTTAAATAATGATGCAGAGGCCTTAAGTACATTTGTGAATATATTTTAGGAGTATAACTACAGTAAGTTGTTTTAAATATGCCAAGACACTGTTGTCTGCTCAAGGAAGTTTCCTTGATGCTAGTGAGGGGTTCTTGATGCAACGAACTGGACCTGTCTTTCCCTTTACTGAATCAAGCATTATTGCCTCCCATTTGCCCAGGTGCTGTATGGACCCCCTATGGGTTTAGTGCTTCCTTCACAAATGTAATAATAATAATAAATGCTATTGTTGACTCAGGTGCTCATGATTATTAATGGACAAAATGTACAGGGTTTTATAGTTGAAATGTTGGACAGGAGGGTCCCACTTATACAGAGGGTTAGGTTCTGGGCTACTGCTATAAAGTGAAAATTGCTGTAAAGTGAAACATAGCCTTATTTTCACTTTCAAATACATATAAAAGCTTGTTTACACTATCATATATTAAGTGAGGAATAGAGCTAGGTCAAAAAAATGCATATACAGTACACACATTACTTACCTTAAATGTTTTCATACTTAGCTTATAGTGAGTGGTGAATATATTTAATGTAGGAATCCTGAATAAATGAAGAATGGGTATAATTGAAAACCACTGCATCACCAAAATTCTGTAAAGCACTGTACAGCAGAACCCACCTGTGCTGTACTATTACCAACAGGTATGAAGACAAGACCCAAGTTCCAGAATGAGCTTATGTTAGGATGCTGTATTTTGTGTAGAGCTTTATCCTGTCAAGATGATCTGATAAAGCTCTACACTGATAAAAATGTTGTCTCAGCCAAAGCTTGTGTTGTTGCCTTGGTGTGATGTGTGATGTTATGCATCTTCACTGACCATTTCTACAATTTTGTTCAAACGTGTCCAGTTCTGTTGAATCAATTTTGTAGCTTGTTGTAATTAATGTTGAAATTCTTGCAAGAGCTAGGAATGTTATTGTTGCAAAGGTTATGTAACAATTTAAATAGAGTAAGCCATTGATTTAATGGACTAATAGAAGGGAAGTTCGTGGCTGGTAGTAGTGATTGCAGTTGATAAGAGATGGGAGTGAATAACGGGCAGTTCCGTAACCAACAGACTTTGTTGTTTACAAATCAACTGACCGAGCTGATTTTGTCCTGTATTTCCAGAGTCCATTAACTAGAGGTTTTACTGGTGAGTTTTCAGTGCATCCTAAAAATATATTAGCATGATGTTTGTTAAGAGAGGAAAATGTACATGACAAAGACGAGGACAAATGATAGTCTACACTTGAACCCTCAGTTAGAGCAGAGGTTCCCAACCTTTTCTGTGTCCTGCTTCCCTAGGAAATGTTTGATTAATGTTGCACTCCCTTCAAAGGTAATATCACATTTGAAGATGAAGAAGTCAAATTTCTAATTTTTAAATCACAAATTGAAGCAGATACAGTACTGCGAGTGAACAAATTGAATTGTGGTTTTCATTAGGGCTCTTTGTTGAACCTTTGAAATGCCCTTTCACACCTGAGGTTGGGAACCCATGAGTTAGAGGTTAAACCACACAATCAGTCATTCTTCCTCGTTTTGGTTTCATGGGTTTTACTCCCTCACTGATCAATGTTCATTACACTTGTTGCACCAATGTAATGTATGTTGGTCAAAATTATATTGTAACACATTTTTCCAAAGATAATGCCTAATGAGTTTTTTTAATTTGTACAGTGGACCTTGGTATACCACCTTAATTCATTCCAGAAAGCTGTTCCAGTGCCGCTCCGTTTGAGTATCAAACAAGTTCTTCCCAACCAGTTTTCTGTTTGGTTGGCTGTTATCACTAATCTTCGTAGGCCCCATGGTTGACTTATTTATACAAATACATGTAATACAAAAAACACCCAAAAAAATGCGAAGAAACACAAAATAGTTTACAGTGAAGTTCTGGCAGGTCGTATTTGTTTGGTCGAATGCTGAGCTCTGTTCGAGTAGGGAGCTAGTTGTATGCTGAGGTTCCACTGTATAATTATTTTAATGAACTTATATCAGTGCTTCCAGTATTAAGCAAGAAATGATACAAATATTAACCGCAGGGAAAGAATAAAAATCACAGTAATGAGGCTGGAACAAATCACATCTGTACTACAGATTGGTGGCGAAATCTTCGAGATGATGTTTCCGACCATGCTGGACCTTTATTAGGTCGTGAAAATGGTCAAGGATTGACCCAGGCATCACCTAATGATTTATCCCCAATTCGTAGGCTTGTGAATAACCTGCAGGTATCTGCCAACCAGACGGTATATTATTATTATTATTGCGTCCTTCCTTCAAGAGGGTGTCCTAGAGCTGGTAATGTGTTCTGATCCAGGGAATTGGAATAGCCCTTCCCTTGGATCAAACCTGATTTCCTCCCACTACCCAAGTGCTATATGACCCCTGCAGATTTAGGACATCCCACATGAATATACTTACAGTTATGAACTCTTCCACATGTTGTACAAGAATCACATCTCCAACACTGGAGACTGGTCAGCCCAGGTTCTCTTGCCTTTTATTGTAACATCTCGCATTTTATTACTGTAACTTGCTTTTTGTTGCAATATCTTGCATTTTGTTGCCATGTCTTACTTTTTGTTGCAATGTCTTGGTTTTTTTGTTGCAACATCTTGTATTTTATTGCAACATCTTGCTTTTTGTGGCAACATCTTACATTTTGTTGCCACATCTTGCATTTTATTGCTGCATCTTGCTTTTTGTTGCAGCATCTTGCACTGTATTGCTGCATCTTGCATTTTATTGCAATGTCTTGCATTTTTATTGCATTTTGCTTTTTGTTGCAACATCTTGCCTTTTATTGCAATATCTTGCCTTTTGTTGCAACATCTTGCATTTGTTGCAACATCTAGCATTCACTTTATGAGTTAGAATAATCCTTAGATAAGTTTCTTCAACATCTTGTGTCAGTAATGCTTTCGACGGGGACTGACTTGGGGCTGGTGAGGGGTTTTGATCCAGGAAACTGGAGCTGCTTTTCACTTTGTTGGATTAAAGCTGATTACCCTCCCCCACCCCGCCCCTCCCACTCTCCAGGTATTGTACGAGCCATACGTGTTTAGTGCTTCCATATGAATATAATTGTCAGTAAAAAAAATTATTAGTATTTTGACATACAAATATAAAAAATTAATGGTTGAAGAGTTTTAAGGTGTGTTAATGGGCTCGATTACTGACAATGTTTGAAGAAATTAATATATAGAATATTTTCTTTGTGTGTGTGTGATTTTGTAATGTGATGTTTTAATTTTAATTTATGACTTGTAATTAGTGAATTTATAATGAAGACACATATGACATGTATGTGGGAATTTTCCTCACTAGCAACTTTTTAAAATAGGTAGAGAATATACAAAATCCAAAAATATGTAGTTGAAGAATGGTCAGATGTGGCAAAATCAGGTGTAGTGTGGTGTGTCAGGTCACCTGACACCTGTGTTCCTTAAAATTTATTAGTCAAAACTTATGATACACTAAAACTTTCTGTATTTTGCAAAACTGTTCCTAGAGCCAGAACTTATGATATGCTAAAACTTTCCATGTTTTGCACAACTGTAATCCTAAGATATCTAACGCTAGCCTGTAGGCAACAGCGTCAGTACAGGTTCTCTTCTTTTATAATGAGTTTAGCCTCACCCCATTTCATCAGATGTCCATCAGTATTTCAGCATATGACATGCATTATTATTATTGCCAGTGCAGTATGCATACTTAGGTATCGCTCTCTCTCTCCCATGTAGATCTTCTCGCAACTTGCACATGGAATAATATACATCTGTGCAGTACATTGTTTGAACAAAACACAGGACACTTTAGCATACCAAAAGTTTTGGTCAGGTAAAAATTACAGGACACGAGTGATTTGCCACATCATGCTACACCTAACTTAATACATCTGACCTTCCTTTGACCTTTTATTCTCTCATTTTATGCAGTTTATACATTGTATATACTGTGTCTTTTTCTGTTACTTGCCTGTCAGTTATCTAGTGTAATTGCAATTGCTGAACTCTTAAACGTAAATGACAATAAAAAATACGAGTGAAAAAATGACAGAAGAAAAACATCTGACCATTCTCATATATTTACACATGCACATCTTTCAAATAACAGCAGTTCGCAGCGTGTTTCTGATCTGAAATTTTCTCACTAGTATTTTTTACATTCATAATTATGTGCTTTGTAGTGATTTCTTCCCAGTCTTGTCATACATGAGAGTAGAGTTGACTAAGGTCGTTTATACAGCACAGGAGGGCTCCGTTTCTGTGGCTGTTAGGTTCCTGACCCCTAGCGATAAGTGAAAATTGCCATCAGGTAGAAAAATTGCATTTTTTCAATGCTGAGTGCATCTAAAATGCCTGTTAATGTGTTTACTCTATCATATATTAAGTGCTCAATACAGCTGGGCATAAAAAAGCAGATACAAAAGTAACATAAATACATAATACATACAATACTTACCTTAAAACATGGTGCTGATTGCCCTTCCCTTATGCAACTGTTGCACTAAAATGGGTGAAAAAGCCACCGAATATGATGAACAATGGCTCAGTTGAAAACCACCAAAAACATGGAACACCAAAAAGAGGGTGCCGAATATGTGTGGCCCTGCTGTACTGTAATGAGACTTAGGGAAGTAGACAAATGGTTCAGAGAGCCGACAAGTTGATAAATTAGACACACATGCAACACTTGGGTATCTTTATTGTGGAAATGTTTTGCCACACAGTGGCTTTATCAGTCCAATACAAAGAAGATTGGAAGGAGTTTCAGGTATCAGTCCCTCAGCCTGGAGTTGATGTAATCACTCCATCAATCTCGAAAAGATTGAAAAGATACCCAAGTGTTGCACGTGTTTAATTTACAAGACTTACGAAAGGTGAGTGAAACAGGTGGTAAGGTCTAGGTAGTGACAGTGTGTAGAGGAAGGGAAGGTCTTCCTGTCAGTTCCTGATCAGCCAGGCTGTGGTTTCCATAGTGGACTGTGCTGTTAGCAACAACACTTTAATTGACTAGATGAACCATCAATCAGCAAGCCTGACCTGGGACTGAGCCACCCTTCATAAGGGTTCTTTGATTCTTGTGAAGGACTTTTGATCCAAGGAATTAGAGAGCCAGTCCTCTCCTTCCATGGAACAAACCTGATTACTTTCAATTCCCCAGGCAATATATGAACCTTACAATTTCAGTTTTTTCCCATGAATGTTATAATAATGATGGGACTGGGCCATGGGGGTCAATGATCCCTGATGTCCAGAACAACATAAAAGTGGAAGACAATGTTGGCACAGCAATGTATCAGTTACCCATCAAGGTTGTCTTCACAGTATTGTAAAAGGTAAATTTATTCCTGCAAGTATATAAATAAAACAAAATGTGCAGGTCATGGTATTTTATGCAGAAGATATTTCGTCTACCAGGAACTTGATATCCCCATACAGCTCCTGGTAAATGCAACATCTAAATAACATGCCATAAACCATGTATTGTATCTTATTTATATTGTCTTCACAAGTGTAAAAAACGATGGTGTTAAGGAAGATCCACCTTAAGGAGACAACTATGGTAGGTGCAAAGAACGTTTTATAAAGAGGGATATGAGCTTTGAAGAAAAACTGTGTAGTAGGAGAGAGAGAGATGATAGGTGCTGAAGAACAGGACTCTTCAAGGGGGGTGCCTTGATATCAATGAAGTGCTCTTGGTCCAGGAAGCTGGAACTACCCACTTCCATAGATCAAACCTCCTTACCTCCTTTTATCCTAGGTTTAGCAGGCATAGCATAGTGTTGGTTTAGTTACATTAGGGAGATGAGATGATTTTTAACAATAACTGAATAAATAATAATGAATAAATTAATAAATAATGATGAATAAATAATAATAATAATAATAATAATAATAATAGTGAAGCATAACAGGATGTTGTAAAGACGACTGAGATAATGCGATGAAATTGGAGGGCAATTAAAAGTGTTAAGCGCCTGACCTAAGGCCAAGTTGCAGGAGTAGGAAAATTATTGAAACCCGTCGAAGTGAATGGAAGGTTCAGACACAAAGCTGAAGTTTCTACAATAAATCAATGGCAGAAATTCATGGATAGTAACAAACAAACCAGCATGGCCACACAATCTTGCCCCCCATCCCCTACTGAATGTGCCAGAATGACTTAATAAACCCAACCCTTCTGCCAGATTAACTTGAATAATCCAACCCTCCAGTCAGAATGACTTGATAAGTCCAATCCTCTGGTCAGAATGGCTTGATCAATCCACACCTGTCAGAATGACTTGATAAATCCAACCCTCCTGCCAGAATGACTTGATAAATTCAACCCTCCTGCCAGAATGACTTGATAAATTCAACCCCCCTGCCATTAGAGGGACTTTATAAGGCCAACCCCCTCTGAAACACCTAAGAAAGTTAATGGTAATCCTAAGGTTTACCACAAGACTAGTCCCAAACATAATGGGTGTGACCTCAGAAGCCATAAGCATGCTGAAAGTACTAAAACCTCACAATACTGGAGGACAAAGGTAACACGAGGGATACATACAAGATCAACCAGACTGTGATGGATATATGGGTCAGCGGGCCACCAACCACAACAGCCTGGTTGACCAGGCAAGTACCAGATGAGCCTGGCCTATGGCCGGACTGGGAGTGGAAAAACTCTCAGAACTCATTAAATGTATAAGATACTCAGAGCTACTGATAACATAGATATAAAGTAACACAAGAGGTACATGCAAGATATGTGGAGGTACTGATAATGTAGATATAAATGTAAAGTAACATGAGGGATACATACAAGATACTCAGAGGTATTGATAATATAGATACAGTGGACCCCCGGTTAACGATATTTTTTCACTCCAGAAGTATGTTCAGGTGCCAGTACTGATCGAATTTGTTCCCATAAGGAATATTGTGAAGTAGATTAGTCCATTTCAGACCCCCAAACATACACATACAAACGCACTTACATAAATACACTTACATAATTGGTCGCATTCGGAGGTAATCGTTATGCGGGGGTCCACTGTATAAAGTAACATGAGAGATAATTGCAAGATACTTGGAGGTATTGATAACATAGATGTAAAGTGACAGCCAGCTTGAAGGGCATGAGAACAGGACAAGGAACACAAATGAAATTTAAAACACATAAATGAGCCAGTCAGTGTCTTCAGTGTGAGGATGATAAGCAGATGGAATGTATCAGGGAAGGAGGTAGTAGTGGAAAATTTTATACATAGATGTAAATATGAAGCCAGAAGCCCACACCCCACCTCCCTGACCTCACTATGTGACCGTACAAATATCCATATGGATAAAGACACAAATGCAGTATAATACGATCTTTTGTTAACCACATTTCACCTGCACAATGGGCTTTATCAAGTCACAAACAGACTTGTCTCTTTTTTCTTCATGTTGCAGTATTTTATAATATTTCTCTGCATGGAAAAAATAAGCTCATATATGGTGCTTGAACCAGTGATGTTCCTAGCAGACAAGAAAGGCTGAATACAGATATCTCTAAAAGGATTAGGAGCTTGTTACTGATTCTCGTATTAGGACAGAGTGAGACGTCCACACACCTTCAAGACCAGCAATAAAGTCCTGCATGTCTTAAAGTTTCCAGTGATAACACGCTTTACTTCCTCTTGTAAATTATTCCATTGTTTGGTCTTCTGTTGGCTAATCTTCTTTTTTTGATTATAGTTACAGTTTCTTGTTCTGCCAGTGGACAGTTAAAGGGGTTAGGAAGTCTTTCTTACAAAATCCTTTGTGTTACTTGTTAATCTTGAATGTAGTTATCATGTCTCCTCTTGTGTAGTGTTTGTGCAGGTCTGAGCTTTGATTAAATTGTGATCTAAGTTTGTGTTTGACATCATTATTTCTCTACTAAATCAGCATTATTCATAAATATATGATCTAAAATATTTTCCAGTCTGGTCAGGTCTCTTACTTGCTGACTAAAACTAATTTGTCACAGTCTTGATAGTTCATTTGTGTAAGTGCTCCTGTGAGCTGCCTACTAGGACTCTCTCTGTTTGCTACATTCGTCCATGTACAGTGAGAAACTATCTGGACAACAGTATGAAACATAGGTAGAGAGATCTGTATATTCTGACCTCAGAGAGACTTCAGCAGATGGGTCTCTGACTGAGGCCAAAATACTCATCTGTCTTATATACATTTCATATTGCTCTCCAGGCAGTTTCTCACTTTACATGGATGAATGTAGCAAACACTGTGATAGTCTTAGTAAGTAGCTCAAAGGAACACTTACACAAATAAACTATCAAAGGAACACTTACACAAATAAACTATCAAAGGAACACTTACACAAATAAACTATCAAAGGAACACTTACACAAATAAACTATCAAAGGAACACTTACACAAATAAACTGTAGCAAATTACTCTGTCAACAGGAATACCAAAATTCCACAGAAGTGAACTGAGGAAAAAACAGTGCTGAATGGATAATAAAAAAAATTCTGAGTGGTGGAACAATGGAATGAGATACAAGAGGAAGTGCAGTAGTCTGTTGTAAACATCTGAACTTCAAATAATTATATGATATGCTAAACACAGAATTTTGCAGGCAGAACTCTGCTCACGTAGCTATATGTACCTTACTCACATATACTGTACATGTGCAATTTTTGTGGCCATGGTCATCCTCATCATTTTCTTAGTCAAAATTTTCTCCAGCAGTCACTAAAGTACAAGTATCTTCAACATTCACTAAGTATCTGCTTGCTCTCAACCATTCCATATACTCTGTCGTTCTCTAGCTTACATTTTCTTTCTCCTGCTCACTCTTGAGTATACTACACAATTCAGTTGCCATAAGATGATTAGAGTAATGCATGAGACACTAAGTGGTGAATGCTAGGTTAGGCTGATAATGCACACACTAATTTTGGCTAAAGCTCTCTTTATGCAGGTGTTGTAGATGATTTAAGCATCATGTGGGGGTAGAAGAATGTATGGGTACAGAGTGCTCAATTTAAAATTGCACAGTTAAAGAAGGGATAATTTTTTCTTATTTTTACAGCTGCCGTGACATTATTGGTTGCCCTTTTGTTGACATAAACCATTCATTGTCTGCAGTGGTCAATCACCTCTCCCTGAATCACAGTCCCTTACCACTTTTTCCTTGCTATACCAGAACAGGCGGGCCCCACTTATACAGCGGGTTAGGTTGCGGGCTACTTCTGTACAGTGAAACGTAGCCTTTTTTCCACTTTCCAATATACATATAAAAGCCTGATAACATGTTTACACTATCATATATTAAGTGATCAATAGAGCTAAAACTAAAAAATGCATATACAGTACACACATTACTTCCCTTAAAATATTTTCATCCTTAGCTTATAGTGAGTGGCGAATATGTTTATTTTAGGAAGTCTGAATAAATGAAAACCACTGCATTAGCGAAATGCTGTAAAGCAGGATCTGCCTGTACATTGTTTTTATCAGTTGGTATAAATTTACAATCCTCAGCAGACATCATTATATACCATATTGGAATTCCACAGAAACGTGTAATAAAATTATGCACATTCATGCTTTGCTGCTACATTGTTGGCACTTGTATCCACCACCATGCACACTTATTCCTTCACTTCCTCACATTATTGTTCATTATTATTCCTTATTAGTACAGTGGTACCCCGAGTTTCGGCCATAATTCATTCCAGAAGGCTGTTCGAGTACTGTTACCAAATGAATTTGTAAATTAAATTAGTCTGTTTCAGACTCCCAAAAATATACTTACATAATTGTTCGAGTTGGGAGCTGTACGAAACTCGGGGCACCACTGTATCTCTTTCTGACTCATTATTCTGTTGCTTATCAATGTTTCTCAATCTTTACTCTGTTCCTTATTCATCTCCAAAATAGAGAGAACTACTTATAAATGTTTCTCATTATTTTGTCCCTTATCAGTGTTTTTCACTTGTTTTTTGTTGTTCCTTATCAGTGTCTTACTCTTTATTCTGTTCCTTATCAGTGTCTCTCACTCTATTCTGTTCTTTATCAGTATGTCTCATTCTTTATTCTGTCCCTTATCGGTCTCTCTTTTTATTCCTTAGCAATGTCTCTCACTATTTTTTTGCTTATCAGTGTTTCTTGCTCTTTATTCTATTCCCTATAACTATTTCTCACTATTCCGTTCCTTGTCAATCTCCGTCACATAGAACATTTTGTAAATTTAATTAAAATTAATGTAAACACAGTATAAATTATTATGTTTTCGTACCTGGACGACCTGTGCAGCACAGGTCACAAAGGTACATAAACTAGATGGGAATGCTCCAAGTCACCTTTGTCCTGTATTTGTCACCCATGGATCTTAGTAAAATATGAAGGAGCCCAACCTATGGGTAATATCTAATAAAACATGAAGAAACCCTACCTATGGGTAATATCTAGCATCAGTCTGGTGGGGGATTGTCTAAATTTTTTTCTTTTACTCTGTATTGCATTGTATTAGGTGTAAATCATGATATTAAGGTTGTTAAGCACAATAATACCAAAGTTAATCTGCATGAAAGACATACGTTAGGTTAGGTTGTAAGGGAACTCCAAGTGATAATTTGTTGATGAGATGTGAAGATTTCCGATGGGTCAGTGTGGAAACTGTAATCTTAAGAAGTTATACTAATAAATATATTTTGCTCAACTATTTTACTGAATGCCTTTACTCGCCTTCATACAAGTACAGTACAGCATCTGATAAAGTCAAATAAACCTTCTGGTAGAATGGTAACAGACGAGTGTCTGAAAAGTTCAGAAATGCACTTGCAGATGCCCTAGCCCATTGTTTTTCAACATTTGGCATTGTTGTCGGTTAGTCCTAATCCTGTTGCTCGTAAGATTGATCTGGTGAAGTGTAGACTGTGCTTGGTCATTGTAACTGGCTGTGCCACATGTTGCCATCTTGTGAAGTCATCCATTTTGCTATACACAAACAAAGTAAAAAAAAAAATGATTGAAAATCAGCATGTTTCTTCAGTGAGTGATCCTTGTGGGTTTAGCATTTAGTTATGATTATAATAATAATTCTTCAGTAAGGAAAATAGCACTGAATGACCCCAACAGATTTAGCATTTGTTATGGATATACAGGTACAACACTAATTTTTTGGCACCCTTGGTTCCTAGACCTTGCTGGATTATCAGTTTTGCCAGACCAGTAGAGGTCACACTGATAATAATCTAACAATACACCTCTGACCCACCATAATCTGCTGGAAACTTAAATGTTAATATATATAAAACAGATTAACTAATTGTATTAATGCTGACAGAATTACCAACAATATGTTAGGTAAAAGGACACAAGTGCAATTAATGTGACATTTTATTGAGGCAACATTTCGCTCTCCAGGAGCTTTATCAAGCCATAATGGCTCGATAAAGCTCCTTGAGAGTGAAACATTGCCACAATAAAATGTCACGTTAGTTGCACCTGTGTCCTTTTACCTAGCAGGTTAACTAATTACTGTACATCAAAGAACATTGCAGTACTACTGCTCCTAATGTGGTAAAGCTTAGAATTTTAATGGAACTCCAGAAACAGTCACAAGGGTCTGGAAGTCGAGGGTTGTCGAAGGTCTGGAAGTTGAGAGTCATCAGGATTAATGTCTGTTTGATAATGGATCTGTAATATTTCAGGGAGAACATCTGGGGTACAGAAGGGCCCCATTTATACAGCAGGTTAGGTTCCAGGCTACTGCTGTAAAATGAAACAGCCTTTCTTCACTTTCAAATGCAAATAAAAATTCAATAGCTCCTTTGTCAAAAAAGGAATGTTGTTCTAGTTCTGACAACTCAATTAACTTATCAATAGTATAGCTGTTAACAAGTTACTTGTATAGCTATTAATCCTAGCCACAGCTAGGGTTAACTGTTATCAAAATACACTAAAACTCGCATAAAAACAAGGGATCACCATCAACAACTGCAGTGTTAACAATGTAAGTAAGACTGCGCTATATGCAATGCCATCTCTGGCCACCCAGTAAACTAATTGGCAAAAAATAGTCTTGTAATTTTGTCCGGAATAAAAGAGGTGCCGGACCATCCACTGCTGGAAAATCGGTGCCATACTTGTAGTATAATAATTACTCTAGTAATAATAATTCTGTGGATAAATCAACTAATAACAGTAGTTATAACACCTCTTAGTTTGAGTTTTATATAATCGATAACTTTTTAATTGAATAGTTTACTGAAGACTAGTGGATCTAAGACGACATGAAGTGGTGTGAGATTTTATGTTTTGTGTATATTTGCATTGACATTGGTACAGTACAATTATACATATGAACATGTATACATATATGTTTTTAATATATATGTATGAATTTGTGCTTTGTAATAGTACTTTCATGGTTCTTGCACATAATGTCTCACTTATTTTTCAGTGCGGAATATAGTTGTCAGTCACTGCTACTATTTTTTGGGTGTAAAGATGCATAATGCAAAACAAGATGTGTTACTTGGCATTCATCTTTATCAGATAAAAAGAAATATTGTAAATACAGAATAAGCTTTAATTGTGGCAACATTTTACTATGTGAAAATCATTATAAAAAAAGGCTTTTTGCCAAATGAAACACTGTCACTCTGAAAGCTTATGTTTACCTCTTTTAGTTTATATGGTGAGCATCTTGCCCATGTATCCATCCTGGCCAATATTTGATCAAACTTAATGTTGAGCAAAATTTCATCAGAAATAAAGGCTTGTTTTGCATTTATGTATCTTGATACACACCTCTCTTGCTTCTTTCTCGTCATTGTTATTCATTATCTGATAAAAACTAAATATTGATGGCAATGAATTAATATCATTTGGCTGTAACTTAATTTATATTTTAATAATACTCCATGCAGTACAATGATATGGAACACTAAATTATTCCACATAATTTTGAAGTTATACATACCTTGTATTTTACCTTGGATCAGACCCTTCAAGGGGGGGGGGGAGTTCATTAACACTGGTGAAGGGTTCTTGGTTCAAGAAATTGGAGCTATCCCTCCCCTTCCTCAGATCAAACTATATTACTTCCCATTTCCCAGGCACTGTATGAATCCTTTTAAGTTTAGCGCTTTCCCCTATGATATATAATTCAGACTTGACACTTTTGAAACTAAAGGTAACTGTGTTGATACTACTCATTCCTGCATACATTTTCACTATACATTTATTTCTCTGACTGCATCATCAAGATGTGTGTCACCCATGTGCTGACGCCTTCCATCAACTGAGCGTGCCTGTAGAATGTGACCCTCGGACCTTCTCTCTTGCAGCTGCAGCTTCTGCAGACGTCGGATCCTCTCCTGCCGCCGCCCTCCCTTGGCCCGATGCTGCACCCAGGGGAGGGCCGAGTCCGCCCTTGCCCCTTCTGCGGGAAGTCTTTTCGCCGGAGTGACCATCTTCGAAGCCACATTAGAACCCACACTGGAGAGAAGCCATTTGGTTGCCCCGTGTGCCCTTACCGAGCTGCACAGAAGATAACAATGGACAGACATGTTCGTAGACATCACATTCAACAACAGCAGCAAGAACAACAGTTGCATGAGCAGCAGCAACATCAGCAGCAACTCCAGGAGCAGCAGCATTAGCAACAGTGCCTGTAGTGATAGTCTCAGAAATATGATCACCATTTCGAGAAGTTGTTTTTTACTAGATAAAATATAACAAGCAGCAGTTGTATTTCTACAAAGCTGTAATATTTACATTATCCTTATACAAATACTATATTTGGTTGCAATTAGAGTGCGAATTAGGAATTTTCATATCTGAATCCTCGATAGCAGCAATGACAACTTAGAATTGCTATGCAACATACAAACAATGTAAAACTTACTACATGTTTCAATGTAACAAATATGAATCTGTGATATACATTTTAATCCATGAACAAGATGCTTCTAGTACTCAGAGACTCAAAAAAATTGAACTTACACTTCAAATGATTTCAGCAAATAAGTAAATTTTGCCTTTTCTGACACTTACTTATCACATAAAGTAGAGAAAGAAATTGTAATTTGTTTAAGTTAAGAACAAAGAACTCCAAGCAATATATATTTAAGAGCAGTTTTCACATTTATATATTTAATAATAGTGATGACAAGAAACCATTCCATTTTGTAAGTTAGAACCTCTAAGTAACATCCATTGTGCTTGAAAACGTTTTCTGAAAATTTGGTTCCTTAAGTATTGTCGCAAGGGGTGAAAAAATTATTGAGGGATCGAATAGAAGTAACAACGACAGTACTGATGTTGCCAGGGAAATGCATATTTACTGTATTGCAATGTAAGTGTTTTATTTACAGTATTATGTTGAATTAGATATGCAGGAGGTCCCCAATTTAGAAACGAGTTGCATTGCTGGTGTTTTAGCTTATAAATGAGTTTTTTTATAGACAAAAATAGTACAGAGGATGGTTGTGCTTTCACACATGTTTGTACTGTTTATTGGTGGTTTCAAAAAAATAATTGGTTCCTTACTGCCCCATATGTAAGTGTGGATGTTTGTATATGCTACGTTTGTAGGTTGGGGATCTCCTGTATTATCAAATTTGCATATTTTTATGATGGTAGAGTGTGATCTTAGTATCAAAATCACTAACTGTACACCCTTTTTGTTTTTTTCTTTTTTTACTGTTTTTTTTTTCACACTGGTTTATCATTAGTGCAGGTTTATCATTAGCTGTCTTGTCAGAAAGGCAAATAACTCTTCAAACCGCAACATGTTCAAAGGTATGGTAGACTTTATCATACTCCAGTTACCAGGGATGTTGACATGGTGATTATTGTGTTAAGTATGTCATAACATTATTAATCACTTTAAAAAATTATCCCTTGGTAACAGGATAATCAAAGGTTAAAAATGAAAAAATGTACTATATAGTGTCCATACAAAATGCCATCATTTTGAATTACTCATCCATTTTATGTATACTCATCTAATATCAGTACTGTAGCTCTATCACTTTAGTCAATATATAATTAATAATGATATTGGAGTAGTGCACACGTGTTTATCTCTTCATTAAGTTAGGTTTTCATGGCTTGCTTAATGATATAATGAAAATATGTAATAAATGATTGTTTAGTTTAATTTTAATTTAGATTATTTCTACTGTGATCCTTTTTTCTGACGGCGGTGGTCTGTGTTGCAGCGTGGCTTGGTGGGGCGTGGCCCGGTCATCTTGTCTTCCTTCACGATGGCACAGGCGCTACACAATGCAGCCACTGACAACGAAGATGATGGAATCATAGGGTCATCGTTGCACATCCCTCCTGGTGTGGGCATAGATGGGCTAACTTGCCCCTTCTGTGGTCGTCGAAGCAAACGAAGAGATCACCTACGCCTGCACATCCGAACTCATACCGGGGAGAAGCCGTACAGGTGTCCTTACTGTGACCGCCGCACCAACCAGAAGAATAATCTGAAGCTTCACATTAGGAATGTTCATCCTGGTCAACCAGCAGACCTCTAAATCCTGGCACTTCCTTAATCTTTTAATGATTTGTGTAAAGTGTGCTTGTGCAGAGGAATAAGAAACCTGGCCCTTTCCAATTGTAGGTTTAACTGTCTTTGTTGATATTTTAAAATTTTATGAAAAATATTTCAAAAAATTGCATCATTTGTCTTTTTTTTTT